TTCAGTCAGGCGTGTATAATTAAGGAATGGACAATATGAATACAGATTACCTGGTGTACTGTAACATAAAAAACATGTTTCCCTTTATTCTGTCCCTAAAAAAGATTTTATTTCTTTCTCAGCTGGTTAATTTGTAGAGACTCAAACAGAAAGCTACTAACTTCTTCTGGTACTGGGTAGGATCCTTTGTAGCGATCCAAATATAGGTGATCATCTTTGCATCCAAATAACCTGCATGCTGTGCTGTAGTTCACTCCTCTAGAAGGAAACGGGTCATGCAAGAAGAGGCAGAGATGAGGTACCTTATCTTTGTGCTAATAAAGGGTCTGTTGTCTAGTCGCTAAGAGAGTTAATGTGTAAAAATCAGAAGGGTGGTCAGAGTCAGATGAGGGCTAGAAAGGAGAATCCATTGCACTGGATCAAGAAACTCAAAAAAGGGTAAGGATGGACTGCTGCATCTTCTGGTCAGAACTTGTGACACATGAACATCTCTGACAAAGAGCAGTGAGAGAAGGTTAGCAGACAGATGGCGGCTGCCACTAACATAAGACAGTTTCCTGGTGGGCATCATCTGTGGCATTTTTTCCGCCTTGGAAGTGAGCAGGGATCGTCATGTCAAATTCCTGATGAAGTCGACTGAGGCCATCTCCACAGAGACCCTGCAGAAGAGTTTTCTGTGTCTCGTCCAGCTCCTTCCGCACTCCCAGTTTTACCTTTAAATCAACCATGCGCCACTCAGGGCCTTGCTGAACCCCTCGTTCAGAGAGTCTTGCCGAGTTCTAATCACTGTTCCCTGATTTCAAAACTTTGCCTGTAGTGATGCTTGTAATCCCAGTCTCCAGTGTGAATTCATCCTCCAGAAAAACATCAAAACCCTGAGATCATGCACATGCAGGTGTGCAAGTCAAGTCCAAATGAACCAGGAAAAAACTGCAAGACTTCAGGCCACAGGTCAAAATGACAACATATGATGTACCTGCCCTCACAGTCAATGAACCAATCAACGTCTGACTTCAAATCAGCCTCTGCTGGTCGGTCCGAATGGTACCACAGCTCTTGGGGTTCCAGATAGTGGGGTGGTACTGGACTGTAGGTATCATGGGTGGTCTCGTGTCCACAGACTGTGGATAACTTGTCAGAGCTGATGCAAGCTGACATGCTTTTTCCTGCTAGTTTCATGATCCAGTGTGTTTATCCACCAGGGCCTGGCGTACAGGCAGCCACAGCCCCCTCCTGTGATGGAAACAGTCGTGGAGCCAGTTTTCATGGAGAACACCCTGATGGCTTATGTGGGGATCTCTGAATTTTTCTTCAACTCTGCTGCCAGATGCCTCTACGAAGCAGGATCCCTATCGAAAAACTTTGATAGGGTAGGTAAAGACTTTGTTATGCTGACATGTCCAGTCCTCAGTAAAGAAAACTCTTTAACAACACTCATTGATGATGTAGCTTTCTTACTGAGGCTTCAGAATCCTCTTTCTTTTACGGCAGATAAACTCGAGGGCCATGAAGTTCGCTTTAAGAGTCAAGCAGTTCTTCACAGTAAGTGGAATAAGAGTTATACGAAAACACTGATGTTCTGAAACAGGGGGATCATTGTTGAGCTTCTGAAGTCAAAACTGAATAATGACACGGTATTTCCACAGCAACCGTGGAACCTGGACCAACCTCTTGAAGGTCAGGTGGGGCTCACCGAAGCGCCAACCATCAGCATCACCCAGTGTGACGGTTTCATTTTCAACATGAGAATCAGAGTTAAGGTCATTGCCCCTGAAACTAGAAGGCCCGACGTCTTCTCCGTGTCCGCGGTAACGCAAACAGACCCACAGAGGAGATTCAGGTGGACCAATGGCATTTTCTTCTCATTCACCTCCATCTCTGCTGCAGGTTTGCTCCGTTAGCATGATGGTTACCATTGAGAGGAATCGTCTCACTTTGCCTTCGAAAGACATCAAGTATGGAAACATGAAAACTCCTCCGAACTTTCAGATATGGAGTCTTTAATTCCTTTAAAATTGTTTTTATTTTTTATTTTTCAGTTGTCGAATTGAAACCAGCAATAAAGTTAGAAAAGTTCTGGTAAGAACATTTCTTCATCTGTCAGCTGCCATACCCAGACCCTTCAACAGTCTTTGCCGAGTAATGATTTTTTTGTGGGTGTTTGTGTTGCTGCTGAGCAGGTAGCTCCTCTGAACAAGCTGATGAACAACGAAGCCACAAAGTTCCTGTCAGGTGAGATGATGGAGAGGAAAAGAATTGACTGACGGCAGAGAGCCTCAGGAGGTCGATGCAAAAACAGTCCTCAAACTTAGAAAGACTGAGTTCAATCATCCAGGAAGTGGCTATGTCACACACCAGATAGGGCCGGTCTTTCCTGGAACCCTTTAAACTTGCCAGGGTCAACATCTCTCCAGACTTTCTAAAGGTCTGCCAGGGTATTGCTTTGCAATTTCATTGATTTCCATTCATTTTCAGTTTGGTCCATGGATTTTAAGTCACTTAACATTGACCTATGACTGATTCCACCACAGTCGTAGTAAAGTTGTGAAGTTGAGAGAGTAACACGACTTGTTCTCTACCAGCACTGACTTAGACTTTTAGGTTGTTTGTCACTAAAAGGTTGCCACAGAAACTCTCTGGGAAATCCCAAAGAAAACACTTAGACAGAAAACAGGATTTTAGCTCCAACCCTTCCCAAAGAGCCGTTAGCTGGATACTTTGACCAAATAGAGGGAAGTCGTCAGCATGTTGCATAAAACATATGGTGCTACCTGAAGTAATGTTGTTCAGTAAGTGTGTGATGGCCAAATCCATGGCCACACTCTGAAGGCAGAAGTCGGTAACTCTTATGCACAATTTAGTTTTCTTAATTTTTTTTTTTTTCATTCAAAAACAACACTTTAGTTTAAGTAAAACACTTATTAGTTGATTTGGATACATTTGTTCTTTATGTTAGCGCGCACATTTAGTTAACATGTGTATTTATATCAACTTTAAAGTTTAATTTGTTTGCAACTAACTTTGTTTGTTTTTGCCGGTACTTACCTGCCTTGGAGTGGCCAGACAAAAGATGGATGCCAGGGCTCAGCAGGCTTAAATGCTGATTGGACTGCACCACTAGTTCCTGCTGGCAGGGGAAATTTGTAGTTTCTTTATTTAGATAAGTTTTGTATTTAAGTAAATATTAGTATTTAAACTTTAATATTTTTGATTTTCATTTTTTGGGTTTTAGTTTAGCCAAACTTAGCTGTACTGTTAGTTGTTTTGTGTTATTTGTAATTGTATTCTGTTTAGTTATCCCTATTGTGTCTTAATTGGTCTGATCAGCCAGTATATAAACCCCTGTGTGTCATTTCTTTGTTAGGTCAGTTATGTTTGTTTGTGCAGCCAGTTTGTTTACATTTTTTGCCTGAGTTCAGTTTTGTTTCTTTGACCTCTTTTATGAGCTCAGTTTATCCTTTGTCATTTATAATCTTTGGGTTAAAATAAAAACCTATTTTTCTAATTAATATCCTGTGACTTCTTCTGGTTTTAACTCGGTCCATCACAAAGTGGATGCTGTTATTGAGACCAAAAGAAACTCAAAGACCTTCAAAAAACCAAGACAAAACTTTTAGTGATTTGTTGAACTTCTTAGCTCAACTTCTCAGTCAGACTGATGACGCACAATCCAAAAACACTGTAGTATTTGCACTACTGCTTAGTGCAGATATATTAGTACACTTGAAAAAGACAAAACCAACTTACAAGCAGCTTTTCAGCAAGATGGAGCTTGTTTTAAATAAATAATTTCTTAATATTTTAAGAAAAAAATTCTAATTCCATTGGAGGATTATTTCATTTACAAGACATTTTTTCCCATGTTGTAAGTGAAATAATCTGCCAATGGAACTCATCCTTTTTCTTCCATATTAATGAGTTAATAACTTAGAACTAGCTCCTTTATCTTTCTGAAAAACTGCGTAACTTAGTCCTGTCTTCTATCAAGTGTACTGAGGTATTTCTAAAAGAAACTAAACCAAACATACTTGGTAAGATTTTGAGTGCAGATCAATCAGAACTGATCACCAACAGCCAAATTCATCAAAAAGGATCTAAAATGTGGTCAAAATAGTTGGAACTTGTCTGTTAATGACAGAAGGTGACATAAACATGAACACTGTGTCTGCAGGTTGGTTTGGTGAAGGAGTTGAGATTCCTATTCCTCCAGAAATTAACTTCATCCAGGGAAACGTCCGATATGAAGATGTGAGTCTTTCCGGAACACTGTTTTTATTTGATATCAATCTGCAATATGTGGATTAGCTACATCATAAACAGACAATTCAGATTTATTTAATATTTTTCTGTATATTTCTGAGTCAAAATAACAAATTTTTAAACAGTTAGTTTATGATCAAACATGTTTTGATACCACTAGTTCCACTGGTAGATTATTTTACTTACAACAAGGAAAAGGTGTCTTGTAAGTGAAATAATCTTCCAGTGGAACAAACCTTTTCATCAATATTTATGAATTATTACTTAAAACAAGCTGCTGAAAAATGAATTGTAAGTTAGCTTAGTATTTTTCCAAGTATGCCAAAACATTTGAACTAGAAACTAGACCAAACTATTTGGTAAGATTTTGTGTTTTTGCAGTGTAGCTTACCCCCAAGTCATGTTTTTGCTGATAAATTGTCTAAATTGGTTATTTAAGATTCTGTTTTTATGTTTCTGTGTGAATTATGAAATTTTCCCATAAATTTGTTTTATTCGATAATATTTTACCTAAAACTGTCTCACTGCTGGCTTTAGTGTTATTCCAAGTGTTGTAAGATATTTGCATTAGAAACTAACCCAGAAATATTTTGGGTTAGTTTTTACAGTGTACTGTTCTCACATAAACAGAGTATCTTAAACGCAACAGACCATCTTTCACATAAAAAACTCCTTTAAATGAGTTGGTCAAACCTAGATTATATCATGATGAACTGATTACTGATTCAATAAAACAAAAGTTTGTCATTTCTGAAACCTTTATTTTAAAATCAAAACAAAAATTATTTTCAGCTTCCCTAAAATGACCAACATCTGGTCTTCTGATCTGGATTTATTGTAACACCAGTTAATGATTGAAACACCAAAACTGACCACATGTTTCACACTGATCTGAAACTATAAATGTTTCTGTAAATGTCCAACTTTACTCAGCTTTTCACGAGTTCCTGCCCGTTATTAATGGTTAAGCAGATTCCATCCATCTGTCACCGTTCTAACCACTTCCTGCCTGTTGCTTCCTGCCTGCAGGGCTACGTAGTGGTGGGAGGAGACCTGCGCTCCACTCCAGCTGGGAGGCAGAGAGTGGCAGACATGGTGAGAGGTCCTGGGAGATAAACGGCTCACACCAGAACCTTCCTGTGCAGAACCACAGCTTTGTTCAGAAATAAAAACCTTCAGCATCTCAGAGTCTGTTTTCTGTCTGACACACCTCAGCAGAATCAGCCAATCAGGAAGGCAGGAGGCCTGTTAGCCTGGTGCTGACCTCAGATCAGTCCAAACTGTAATCCTGAGAGAGTCTAAGACACGGTCAGATCCCAGTCTTCATCATCAGCCTCCTCTTCATCAGACAGAGAAAACTCATTCACCTGAAACACACACAGTCAGTATGTAGAAGAAAAACACACACCTGGAATCACACTGAAAACCCCCCCCACAAAATTTTATCAAAATATTTCTGTCTAGTTTCTAGTGTAAATATCTTGGTACATTTGAAATAAAACAAAACTAACATACAAGAAACTTGTTGGCAATTTATATAAACTTGTTTTAAGTCAACAAATTATTAAAATTGATATAAAAGCACAAGGAAAAGTATTTCTATTGGCTGAATATTTCAAATATAATTACACATTTTTCTCTTGTTCCAAGTGAAATAATCTGCCAGTGGAACTACAACTTTTTCATCAACATTAAGCAAATATTGACTTAAAACAAGCTCCTATGTCTTGATAAAAAGTTACTTATTTAATTTTGTCCCATTTAAAATGTACTAAGATATCTACTTGGTCAGATTTGGTGGTTTTGCAGTGCAGGGGAGGACAGGTGAGCTTACCTCCAGGACATCTTCAGTTTCATCAGCTTCAAACTGATCTGAGGTCTGTTTCAGCTCCACCATCACTTTACCATTCCCTGCAGCAGCAGATCTGGGATCAGCTCACACAGCTTACAGTAGTTTTACTGTAACATGAGTTTAGTCTACCTAGAAGTATGAGCAGCACGGAGGAGAAGGCCTGGACCAGGGCCTTCTCTCTGACCGACCGCTGCAGCTTGCAGCGCCTCTGCAGGAGGACGTCTGGACCTGGACACAGAGACGACAGGGACAGCAGCCACTGACTGAAAGTTCTGCTCGGACATCAGAGCCAGGGGCGGTGCCAGCCTGGTTGGGGCCCCGGGCCATCATTTAGATTACCATTTACCACATTCCATATTTATTTTAATATTCTATTTGAAAAAAAAATTCTTAGATTATAAACAAACATCAAGACACAGATTTCACTCCACAACTGTCAATTAACATCAAATTTGTTTTATAGAATTACACTTAAATACATATTAATTTGCACAAATTTCATAAAAAGTCCTACCCTTTGAGAAATAATTACTTTTGTGATGACATGCCATTAAGGAATGCTAATCCACCTCCTTTGGTTTTGCCACCTCTCTTACATCTCTGTCTAGCTGTATGGTTGGAAAGATGTTGGAGTAGGGGATATGGTGTAACTTCCTCTTTCTCAGCTCCTCTGGGTTGAGGCAGGTAACTCAACATGCCATTTTCTCACCTGTACTGGTGAAGGTCTCCTCCACCACTGCGGCTCCTCTTGTCGTCACGCCGTAACGCGGGAAGCTAAGCTTCATTATACAGCCAAACCTTAACTTCTGTCTGGCTCCACCCACATCCTCTTCTTCATCCTCACCTTCTTCGTCACTGGTGAGCTCCTTCAGCTGTTGAGGACACACAGACAGGAAGTGACCTGCTTGCTCTTACTCACCTGGACTATCAGGTGAGGTGTGCGTTTCTCACTGTGATGATGTCAGAGGTCCAGCCATTGAAGCCCAGGTAGTGATTGGCCAGTTCCAGGCAGCGGGCGTGGCTCAGAGGAGCGTTCTTGCCAGACAGGAAGTGGGGAGTCTGCTTGGAACTCAGCTTCACCTGTAGGAGCAAACACAGGTGAGACAATCAGAAGTAACAAACAAGTTAACGCATAATCCAGAGGCGGAAGAGGTCACCTTGAGGGCGGAGTTCTGTAGCAGAGGGTGTCCATGTGCAAGTCTCTGGGCGTTGGCGGCGTGAGCAGCAGAGTAGAACTTGATGATGGCGTAGAAACCAGGTGGGTGGAGCGGAGCGTTGGGACACACCTTCAGCAGGTAGAGCGGTCCAAATGAGGAGAAGACGTGATAGAGCTGCTCCTGAAACGACAAACAGCAGATCAGTGCCAATATGTCGCGTCAAGAGGACTGGATCTGATTAGCTGCTCTAACACAAAGCTCCGCCTACAGGAAGCTGCTTCCAGAAAACATCTTCTAGATGTCTGTGACAGAAACACTGAGAAGATGGAAAATATTTGAATAAAATAAACAGAATCATTACAACATTGAACAAATAAAATATGTGGAAGCCATTTAAAAGTAAAAAAAATTTATAAACTAAAAATATATAATCCTGATTACAAATTTATGAAGAAAATATTAATGCAAAGAAAATAAAAAGGAAACTAGAGCTTAGAAAAAAATTTTATACTGTCCATAGGAAGAAAAAATAACAACCAAGAGAAAGAATAAATAAATAAAACCATTAAGAAGTTAACTTTAACCTAAAAACATATTTCTCAACGATAACAGCTGGACCCTCATTCTAGGTTCTGTTGTAACTCATCCCGTTTCTGATTTTAGTTCTTAGTTCGGACTTACATAAATCTGATCCTGGGTCAGAACCGGAGGGATGTCCCAAACGAACACGGTTTTGTTATTGTCCATGGGAACCTTAAACTCCAGGATATCCACCTCCATCCCAGGAAAAAAAAAAAGAAAAAACCCCACCAAACTCCGTTTAAACCCCAACCGTTTTTAATTCGTTTCCGTTTCAACTGAAATCTGGATTCTCCAAAACGCCATTGGAAGCCGGGTTCTGTTTGAGAATAACTACCAAACACTTCGGCATTAAGCGTAACTGCTCACACATTCAAATTGAAGAAAAATAAAAGAAAGTCAAACTTCTGCCCAAATATTTTCCTCCCGGTTTGGTTCAAAATGGCGGGTTTCTGAGTTGAATCCGGCAGGCGGGGTCTTGTCTTCATAAATAACCAATCAGGCTACAGATCAGACTGTGACGCAGCAGTACTGCCTAAGTAACGTCATGGCACGTACACAATCATTTTTTTTCTCTGGCTCTCTATATATATATAT